AAAATAAAATAAAATAAAATAAAATAAAATAAAATAAAATAAAATAAAGGAAAAATAAAAAAAAGAAGGATCTGATGTGGTGTGGCTAATGAAGGAATGGAGGAAGTAATGCACTAAAAACTATGAATCTCACGAGGAAATAAACAGAGGCCAGCACTAATGTGCTGTTGATCTAGACTGAATCCAATGGGGGCAAAACGCTGACTTTCCTGGGTGGAAAACACCATATGTTTTTTATAAAAACCTGGAAAATTTTACATCAATGTGATCTTTATCAAGCAATTTCATTCTTTCTTTCTTTTTTTCCATATACAAGTAAGTATTTATTTGCTGAGAGTCAGTTCGGTGCCAGACATGGGATGTGTGATAGGGTTATGGTGGGGAGAAAAGCCAGTGTGAGGCCCAGACTCTTGGAGATTGCAGTTTAGTGGGAAGGGAAGGGTCATAATCATCAGACGACCCCAGGAAATTAATCCTAGGTTTTTATATCTGTGGTAATTTATTTAGCTGAAACAAATGGATTAGTCAGGAATGATGCCAGAATTCCCTTCACTCTTGAGGGACAGGAGTTTTGTTTTGTTTTGTTTTTTGAAATGAGCCCAAGAAATCCTGAGCTTCTCAGAGAGGGGCCAGCCTGCTTAAACCTGAGGGTCAGTTGTGGACAGTTGGAAGGGCTGACCAAGGCAAAGGTAGGACCATGAGAGACATACGCCAATGGACAGTGCTTGAGCAGGGTACATGACAGGGAAATGCTTACAGCCTGGCGTACCTTGTTCTGGAGGTGGAGGAGTGCTCAGTGACTCCCAAGGTAGAGGGGCCAGGAGACTGATCTTAGTGAGGTCACTCTCCAGGTGCCTCCCGGATGAGGAAGGCTTGCAGGGCGGTGGCAGCCTGGAGTCTACAGTGTGAGGCTGTCTCAGCAGTGACACCCAGTGGATACTGGGTGCAATGCCACAGTCAGTCAAGCCAGCCCGCCAGCTAAATGATTAAAAAGCTGCCTGTGTGGTTAAGGATACACATGCGTGAGCATGTATGTATTTGTGTGTACGTGCATGCTTTTTTCAATAAGATCTCTCACTGGCCCGGAACTGCCCAAGTTAGACTAGGTTGGCTAGCCATTGAGTCCCAGGGGGCTGCCTCTCTGCTTCCCCAGTATTGGGATTCCAGGCGCAGACTTTTCCCCACCCCCTACCCCGCCCCCAACAATGTCTGGCAGCTTCCACATGGTTTCTGGGGACGAGATTCAAGTCCTCAAGCACTTTACTGACTGGGTTATCCCCTAAGCCCTTGGCAAGAAAGAAAGAAAGAAAGGAAGAAAGGAAGGAAGGAAGGAAGGAAGGAAGGAAGGGAGGGAGGGAGGGAGGGAGGGAGGGAGGGAGAGAGAGAGAGAGAGAGAGAGAGAGAGAGAAAGAAAGAAAGAAAGAAAGAAAGAAAGAAAGAAAGAAAGAAAGAAAGAAAGAAAGAAAGAAAGAAAGAAAGAAAGAAAGAAAGAAAGAAAGAAAGAAAAACTGGATATGGAAAATCTGGGGGTTGGTGCCAGCAAGCTTCTGAACTAGAGAGGACTCTATTTTCAGGTTCTTGTCTTTTTCCGAAGGGCGGTGGAAAGCCATGGAGGTGTTTTCTGCAGGGGCCGCTGTGATCAGACTTGTGATGGCAAAGGATCCTATGGGTCTGGGTCAGGCCTCAGAAACTTATTTCTAATAAGTTCCAAAGTGGTCCAGATACTCCTGGTCCAGGACCTTGTATTAGGAGCCGCTGCAGTGGAATGTTCAAAGGCCTCTATGTTTCCCAGCAAGCCCGTGACTGGTGTCAACACTACAGTTCATCCCCGAGGTGGAGGGTGGGGGGTGGGGAGTGGGGGGTGGTGTAACCTTGGGGACCAAAGTCAGGACTGAAAATGTGAAGATTTCTCTCTTCTTTGAAAGCTAGGAGGTTGTTACTTGTGCATGTAGGAAGGCTGTGTGAACACAGAGTCTACACATGTGTTAACCAAGGCCACCAGCAGCTTCACAAAGCAAGAGAAATCCTTATGGGGTGTGGTGGAGGAAGCTGTGAGATGGGAGATTTGGGACCATGTGGATGAGGACGTTAGGAGGACGCTCTGTAGCTGCTGGACAGAGAATAAGCATCCCCAGACAGAAAAGACACACCCAGGGCCCTGAGCCTGAACCAGGTTTTCCTGGAGACACACTGTCCTCTGGGTGTAATCCTCACACTTTCTGGTGCTCACAGCTTGCATCCCATATCTTTGTCTTGACTTCCTCGGCCGCACTGTCTTTCAGGTGAGAGAGACTCAGAACTGGGAAGTGGTGCGCAATGACCTGGGTGTTGAAGAAACCCTTATAGCAGCCAAATGCTATGAATGATGCTCTTCCCGCTAGGTAGACTCTAGGTCACAAGTGCCGCCAAAACCCAATAGTCACACAGCAACCATCTCACTGGGCCTGCTGGGTTCCTGCAGAGGCCTGGACAGACAGACACTGAATGCTGCCATATGATTGCTTCTAGAGAGCAGGCCCTCTGGAGCTGCATGATTATTTCTCCCTGAGCCTAGTGTGACTGCTGCCCCAATGACAGGCCTCCCCTGCTGCTCATAGCAGAACAGGAGTGAAAAGAGATCCAGAAGAAAAATATCTAATCATAAGGGAAACCAGGATTATGAACTGGGTGATTCTCAGTTTTTTTCTTTACGAAGGAGGGCAAAATGTTGGTAAATGAAGAGATTTGCTCTTAGGAAAGCAGGTCCTAGTGGGGAAAAAACAGCAATGGTGTGGCCGTAGATTCACTTAATATCTCAGAAAGTTAAGATGCCACCACTTTCATGTGCTAAACAATACATATCTATTATCTTACAGTTCTATAGGTCAGGTGTATGGCAAAATATGACAAAGGGGTATGACAAAGGTACATGTGGGGTGGCATTCCTTCCTGGGACGTGAGGGGTCAGTCTGTTTTTGACCTTTTTTACCTTTTACATTTGTGGGACTAGCCTTTAACAACTAAACCATCTCTCCCCCTTATTTTTTCATCTTGTGGAGACTAACTCCGTTCTTTGTCTCATGATCCTGTCCATCATCACAGCTAACATTACATCTACCTTTGCCTTTCTTCTTGAAGTCACACCCCACTCCCACCAGATCTTTTAAAAGTCCCTAGCTGATTACCTGGAACCTATCTAGAAGATAGAAAACCTTTCATTTTCAAATTCAACTGACTAACAACTTAGATTCCATCTGTATGTTTAATCCCTCTTTGCCATGTAACATCACACATTCACACATTCTGGAGAATAGGATTTAGAGATCTCAAGGGTGTGGACACACCTTATTCTGTTTTCCACAGGGAATAGGACAAGGTCATTATCCTTGGCTTGCCCATAAAGACACTAGAGTTCTTCGAGGCAATTGATCTTGCAGGGCTACCAGAACTAAAACTGGGAGCCTGTGGCTACAAATCCTGCACTACTTTCCCCTCCATATTGTCATCATTAAAATTAGGATTACAGACTCTGATGACCAAGTCAAAATATAAAAATCCCATGAGGCCAGTGA